CGCTCCAGTTGGTGTCGGTTTGGTTTCCTGGCTAGCATTGCTGGCTGCTCTAATGTTTGTCTCTATCATGTAACAACCATGCATCCTCATTTAAGACTAGTAGTTTTGTGCAAATATGTCAGACTTTTGTAGTTAGCTAATAAGATATTGCTTCTCGGGCGCCTGGTTAGCTCAGTCGGTAGAGCTGAAGACCCATGCACAGAGTTGCTGCTATTAATAATAATAATAATAATAATAATAAGATATTGCTTCTTATTAGACATGGGACGATATGATCATTTCACGTTAGCATTATCTTGGCCAAAATAATCGCAAGACATGATCAATTAATAGTTCTAAAATGTCACTAAAACTTATTGGAATCACTTTACCTTACATTTTCCTGTTCTTTAGTTTGGAATCTATACTATTTCCACACATTGGCGTAACTCTTTTTGTGGGGAATACAACTGGCAAGCCGAGCGTTCAGCCATGGTGACAGGATTAGGATTTCAGAATGACTGGAAAGAAGCGACTCCCCCTTCTGCCCTTGTTTAAAATAAATCAGGAAGTCATTAAATTACAGTATAGTATACTGAGAGCTAGACAGCTTTTTCAAGTCAAACCATGTGAGAATATTCACAATTTTCCCAATTCATGATATTGGAAATTCACCACGATACACTGGTGGTTTTTATCGGGACATGTAATAATATTGTATCATCACCACTTCTAAAATGTTTTTTCTTAAACTTGTGATGACAAATTTTTTTTAAATATTGCTCTCTCACACACACACACTCACCTCCCTGTGAGCTGCAGCTGCTGGTCTCCTGTCTCTGTAATCCTTCTAACTGAGTGGGAGGATGAGAGTCACTCCAGAGACCAAAACACTCAAACACAAAAGAGCTGAGCAAGCTAAAAAGACGACCCGCTGATACACACACTGACAGTGAGTGTGTGTGTATTATTCAGAACCTCGTTATCAGGGTCTGATCAGCATGTTGCTCAGGCTATAATTTCTCTTCCCATCAGCAAACTAAACAGAAGTCACTTGAGCAAGTCTGGATTACAAACTGTCTAACTTCATGTTTAAAGTCCAATCTTGCAGTATCTCTGTCTGAATATTCATCATGTTTGACAAAACTCTCACTTATCTGTCTATATCTGTATTTTATATTCATTTTTACCAATCAGAATAATCTTAAATATCCATATACAATCTTACTAATATGGAGAAATTCTCTCAGCAAATATTTTCAAAATACCTTTTCAGAGCTAAAACAAATCCATTAGTTGTTAAAAAAAATACATAATAAAAATGTCATAATGTATTAGTCATATCTGCAGTACATACACCAAACATTAGGATTTTCAATTTAAAGATACCCCCTAGACATGTATTAAAACATATATACAATTAATCTGCTTGGAACAATAATGTGTGTCTGATATGTTTTTTTTTCACAAAAACATATTCCACATTAAAATCCTCAAAAAGTCATCCAGTCCTTCTACCTCATTAAACCTTCCAGAATCTCTGAATATGCAAATGTATTTCATAAAGTTTGGATGCTGGACACAAGATGTCTCCTACTTCAAGTGCATTGTCAGTGGATGTACACTGCTCGCTTCAGGTTTCTACGTCACACTGTACAAGTTGCATACTGGACCAGGATTAATAGATTCATGAAACAAAAATATTTAGCACATTAATCAGATAATAATAAATAATGGATAAAAAATAATAATTAGAAGCGGTCCTGTAACTTGTGAGGCATCTACAGGGATCTTAAAAGAAGAGCTCATCATCAGAAAAGTGGTGATGACGGAAAGCTTTATTCAGCTGATGGCTGCTCCATAGATCTACAGAAGAATATACTTTTTTAACCTGCTGATACATATGAAGGGCTAAAGAAAATACTGGGACGCCAGAGAGGTAGTGAGGGCACCTTCCAGCAGTGTTTCAGGGTGACTATGTAAGAGCTTAACCTGCTGCTCATCTCTTCCTAAACTGCACTACACTGTATGTGCTCACAGAATGTGAAAAAGCTTTTGTGGAGTCCCTCGGGTCCATGTTGAGCATCATGTTATCACTAAATGAGTGAAAATAAACAGCCAACACCAATATTTCTCATATATACACACACGCTTTTCCTACAGAGTAAATATAAAATTTGAATACCTCAGACTTTTGAGGATCTTTCACACAGCATGTTGTCCCACAGTGCAGACAGTGCAGTCTGTTGGTGATGCTGATGCACTTAAGCCTCTGTGCCTCTGTCTATTAATGTCTTCCATAAACAGTATTGATCTTAAGCCACACTCCACTTACTAAATTACATTACAGGTGAATTACTTTGGTTCTATTAAATAAATATGAACAGTAAAATAAATGGAGGAGGCTGAGCAATATTAAGTCTGTGTGTGTGTGTGTGTGTGTGGCCACTGAAACTGTCAAGGACAGGTCAAGGTGTCATGGAAACGTTAATCTGAATGAGGAAATCTCCTCTCCTTCACTTCCCTTCCTCTCTCCTCTTTTTTTCTTCTTTCCTTTCCTCTTCTTTGTAAAAAAGTAAGTGGACCTTATGATGAGATGATTTTGTTTAACAAGTCATATTTTTGAATTACAGAAAACAGTTTACACCCATAACAGTAGAGGACCTAAACATGAGCCTTGTGGGACACCACAGCTGATATTTCCCTGTATCAGATATTATTTTAAGAGCTAGTTTAGGTTTAATTGGAGGATCTGAACCAATCAAGGGCAGAGGACTTAGACACCAGCCAAGTCACACAGACAGTTTAATACAATCAAGTATCTGAAAGTTGTGCTAAAACCTGCTAAATGTATAAATTAGTCATTGGCTGCCAGTACTTTTTAGCAAAATATAATTTGTGTGTTAGAACAGAATACAGTAGAGCTCTTACCAGCCACAGTGACTTTAGCGATCCGGCTAACAATGCTCCCCAGTCCGTCCAGTGTGGCGAGGCACTGATATTCGCCCTCGTCGGGCCGGTGGTGTCGCGAGTGCACAACGTTCTGCACCAGCAGCGAGCCATTAGCCAGCTGCTGCCGCCGGTCGTCCACCACCGCGCTCAGCAGCACGCCATCCTTGCGCCACGTCATGGTTGGAGGTCCTGCCACTGTGTCGGACTGCGCCTGGCAGTCGAGTTGCAGCACGCCGCCTCGCACCGTCACCGTGTCCTGAGGCTCCTGGGTGAAAGTGAAGTCCACGAAACCTCCAAGACTAGATGAGGAAGAGGAGGAAGATGAGGGGGCATCTGAGGCTACAGGAGAAGAAGAGAGGAAGTGGAGTTAGATAGCAGCGCAGAAATGTGGGATCACCAACAGGACAGTTACTTATTTATGAAAATGCTCTCCATAACGGAACTGCAACCACACAGTTCAAATACAGCAGGGTGTCCAGTGGGGCATGTGCCATATAAAATACAAGATGCAATAAATCAAAACAAAATAAATAAATCAGTAAGTCTGGAGGTAAAGAAACATTTCATATCACAAGATCAAAAGCGATCATCACAAGTGGGAAAAGTAGGCAACTGCAGCAGGGCCCAACACCCTCAGGGGCTCCAGAGGCCTTATTCTGTGTCAGCAATCTGATTAATTGTACTTGCGTCTGGAATATACTGTACACCGATAAATGAGACGATAAGTACCCTCACGTGTGGCCTGCCTAATTGCCTGTCTAAATGACCACAACTGTGGGGGGTGGGGGGTCGTTCTTGCCCATTTCCTAGTAACATAGTGTATCATTCCTTCTGTCTGAATGAATTACACAGGATTAACCATCCAGATGTCAGCCCCAAATTCACATGTTTTGTCAGTGCATGACGCAGGACAGAACATCCACCACTGCGGTTTTCTATGTAATCTCACCATTAATGATAACCGTAATTCGTTTTTTTCTTGAATCATTTATTAAAGGACCAGTGGGTAGGATTTAGTGGTATCGTATCTAGCGGTATAGATGCCTTGTTTCACCCTCCCGTTCTAAGCATGAAGGAAACTATGGTGAAAAAAAAATGCAAATCTACAGCCAGTGTTTGGTTTGTCCGTTCTGTACTGTAGAAACATGAAGGCAGTCCACGACATCTGTAGATAAAAACAGCTAATTTTAAGGCCACAAAAACACAACAATTCCTATATTCAGGGGACTATATACTAATAAACATACCTATGAATATTATATTCCATTTCTGCCAATAAATCCTTCTAAATGTTACATGTTACCTTTAAATGTATCCAGTTTCCACCCTCTGACCACCTGTGTCACACACAATAAGGGAAATATATGAATGTGAAATGTGAGGTTTTTAAATGCCTATAAATAGTAGCATGTATATATCCTGATGCTTAGCTCAACTAGAACAACATGTCCAGCGTGAAAGCCCTCATAGTGTCATTATCGGTCACAGTAGACAGCTGTTTTCAGAGAAAAAGCTCTTAAACCCCACTGTTTTGCCTGCTCAGCACCAAACAGCACACACACATAATAAGCAACTAAAAAAAATGTAATTTGCAAGTCACACATAGCTTGCCTTATGAACAGTGGTGTAGTGCCGGGTATACGCAGGTATACAGCGTATAACTTTTTTTTCAGTCTGCATTGGGTATACCCACTTCTAAATCCTCTCCCATGCACAAGATTCAGCAGTGTTCTGCAAGCTGAATAAATTTTTCTAGAATGGCAAAGTCATGGCATAATGATCCCTGAAATCTGACACTGTGACACTGTCACTGGGTGAGCTAAATACGCAAGAGTAGTCTTACATGTCACTGTTTATAACACAAAAAAATTGGGAGCATCAATAATAATAAATAAATTACAATAGATAGAATAAATAAATAAAAGTATATCGCCTCTAGAGGGACCCACTACACCACTGCTTATAAAGTTGTAATGTTTTGCAGTATCATCAAGTTGCAACATCCCCACAATGAGCACAACCTCAGGTAATTGTATCACACAGAAATACACTTTGCAGAACATGGATGAAACAAAGCTGAATAAAACTGTGATCAACAGTATTAAAATGCTCCGATTAAGTGTCTTCATGATTTCAATATTTCTGTCACCAGACTCTGGTTGTATTAGCTCGATTTTTCAGGATGTTTGAGGGGCAGGGGCAAAAAAATAAAAAGAGAACCAGTGCACTAAAGTTGTGATCCATTTATGGTAAAACAGCTTAGTCAGGGTTAGTATCCTACAGGACACATTACAAAAAGGAAAAATAATCTTGTCAAGGATGCTTTGCATTCGAAAAGTAATTTTGTTTAAGAAAATCTATCTAACTTTGTCTTAATAAGATTGAACTTGTTATTAGTTCCAACAACGGTTTGCATAATATCCCAGCAGAGCAACAAGATTATTTTTATTAATTTAAGAGAAGACCACTCACACAACTTCTCAGATTCAGAGAAAGTGGTCTGGTCCCAGTGTTGGAAATGAAGTAGCTGTTGCTGCTGTCTGAAGTCTAAGAGTTTATTGCCAATTATTAATCTTAAATTTAGAACAATTAAGAGACCAAAATAAATATTTTAAGAAAGTCTATCTTAAATAACTGAGTTTTCATTGTTTGTAACAAGGACAATTATCTTAAATCTTTGGCATTTTTGCTACTTGTAAGGCACATTACAGTCTTTCAGTGGTTAGATTTTTATGCTATCTAAGCCTGGCCTACCCCACTGGCAGATTGGTTTTGCTCAATACAAGAAAATCAGATTATCTGATTATAGAATATTTGAGGAATATTTGGCCTTTTTTGCAGGGCATTTTCTGAAGTGCACTTGATCATGTTTTCTCCACCACAGGGGCTTCCAGGGGGGCACTTTGCTGTGTTTTTTTGAACATGAGGGGTTCTGGGGGGCCCACCTCCCACTTGAGTCCACCAGTAAGTCTTCACAACACTCAAACTATAACACTGCTTAACTCGAGGTGTTGAACCACAGGAATCAAAACCATAACCCATAAGGCATGGTTATAGAATCAAAGCTTGTTTTTCAGCAGCAGGTGAAGTACAAGTTGTGTTTATATTGGCTTTCTTTTATTTATTTATTCATGTTTTTGTTGATGTATTTATTCATATTTGCCATTAGCTTTGTCAGACTCACAGCAGAGAACGTGACCTGTGGTGCTCTGAAGGATAACTCATCATTTCTATCAAAGCCACATCAATCTGTTGTGTTTTCTTGTTTTTATGGCTTCAGATTTTGTTTAATCTTGCGAAAGGCTCTGACAGCGGCGAGCTGCGGTGGCTCTCCTCTCGCCTTTGATGTTGGTGCCGCTAAAAAAAGTCTTTCATCCTGATCAGAGAGGCAGTTTGTTCGGTCAAAGTCGCCGTTCAGCGTCTGTGCGTTTCCTGGGAAGTCTGAACAGAGGCTGAGGACAACCTGAAGTCACGTCATTACGGCACAAAGTCGACTTTGAAGCGTGGCAGATGTTTTTTTTTTGCCTTTTAAAACCCCTCACAGCTTCAGTTTCTCCTGCAAGAAAACTCTGATCAGACAAACATCAGGTATAAAAACGAGATACTCTCTGGCTCCGCTCCCAACGGGGACCAGAAAACAAACAGAACGCTCAACATAAAAGTCATTTATCACTAATGACTGGTTATTGTTTCTTCTTTTCTTACTCAAATAACAGGACAAAGCACAGAAGCATGATTTAATAAGAACCAGTATCAATTAGCGCAGGGCTGCAGGCAGGAATCAAGGTCCTCCTAACAACTCCCTCAGTGCTAAAATGCTCCACTTTCTTATTATTCTTTGGACTATTCAGATATCATCTATTTACTTGTAGAAGTTTCCTCTGGAAAAGTGCTAACTCTACACAGTTTATTAAACTGAACTAAAATGAGACATTACTGGTTTTACAGCTGCTCTCAAAATGTTAATAATAACTTTTTGTCATATTTGCTTTAACTTTCACTATATGCTGACAGTTCATCATGAGACAGACATTCTGTGAAAAAAATCAGGTTCCTCTGGCTCATTTTCATCTTCCTAATGGAACCTAAATGAAAACAACCAATCAGAGCCAAGAAAGATAGCTGATTGTTGAATCTCATTCCCAGGCGTCAAACACAGACTCTCTGGGTTGGTGGCTTTAAGATAGTTGATTGTTGAGAACCTGGGAATGAGACTCCAGCCACTATGGACGCCGATCAACTCATTAATAACAAAAACACAACAATTCCTTTATTCGGCTGATAATACACTAGTGAAAACATACTTATGAATATTGTATTCCATTACTACATATAGAATATATCCTCCTGAATGTTACACATTGGACCTTTAAATGATCAGAAGCTGCTCATTTTAAAGTGCTCACGTGTGCAGGAACCACAAGGGGAAGAAATAGTTTTGATAGACTGTACTGATGTGTAGTTAGTGTCATCAAAACTTTGTCTGTGTTCCATATTTTAGAGATGATAATTAACATAATACATATTTTACAGTGATATTAGAGTTTCCCTCTTGTGTTGAAAGTGTTACAGAAACATTACAGGCCTGACCTTGTAAGACTCTCTGCTGTTGTGCCTTTTACATGAAAGTGACCTGGAAGCATATTCAGCAATGTAAAACCAGATAAGTTAATTTAACTTAAAAACTTGAAACTGATCATATCAAAAAATGTAAGTAAAACTAACTCAATTTTGTAAGTCAAAACACATTCTTTAGTAAAATTAAGTTACACTGACTTCAATTCCTCATTTTTATTTGTACTGAGAAAACAAAATACCTAATAATAAGTACTAAAATATTGTATTTTTCTTGGCAAACTGGGTTCCAGTCCTCAACTTAAGTAGTGAAGCAGGAATGAGAACTGGGATCAGAAATCTTCATCTACCTTCCTCATCTCCATCCATACCCTTCCTTCCTTCTGTGTCCCTATGTCCACTCCCTACCCTCTCCCTCTCCCCTTATATCTTCTTTTTCTCTTTCTCTCTCTCTTTCATTTCCCAGGATATCTTTTTTTCCTCCTGCTCTTTCTCCCACTCCATCACCCCTCCCCTCTTTTCACATCAAACACTAATGTTTCCTTCAAATTCCTTTTCCTCTCCGTCTGCCAACTTTGAAATCACAGGAAATTACGCTAAGAATTGTCGATGCGTTTTTTTTTTCCTCTTTTTTTTTTGCTTTCAACTTCATTCCACTTCCCAAACAGACGCTTCTCTAGTGTGGCCTGTCATCCCCAAGACACCCGCCTCCTTCTTCTACTTCCTCCTCTTCCTCTTCTTTTTTTCTTCTTCTGCTGATATGT